TTCTTTGTCTTGCTGTGCTCATTTGTTTTCAATGTCAAAGGATTTATTTTCTTGGGATTGGGGGTAATCTTGGTAAGTGATTCATAGATATGGGGATTTGTTACATTTAAAATGAGAAGATCGTGTGCAATCTTCACTCATTTAACATGCGTACCATTTACTAACGAATTTGTTAACAAGTATATATAAATTATCATATGTGATCATAATACCTTTCTCTAAGTTGTGTTGCATTATTGTTATATTCTCTGAGCCAAAGCTTGATATTTGTACTTTGGAATTCTGTAGGTCGGACCTTAATCGATCAAATTTCCAGGGTTTCTATGTGGTAATAATGGAGAGAAATGAAGAATTGGTTAGTGTGGCAACTGTTAGGTGAGAATAGGATATGCTACTAATAAGTATCTAGTAGATCATGTAATTGCATTTCCTATTTTAGTTGCAGTTTTTTATTCCTAGACATTTCATGATATACTGACTTGCCATTTCATTTTCTAGGATATTTGGACGAAAGGTAGCAGAAGTACCTCTCGTAGCTACCAGATTTATGTATCGTGGACTTGGAATGTGTCGTATTTTAATGGATGAGCTTGAAAAGGTAATATATAAAGCACACAAATTTATGTATGAACACATTGATTTCTTGAAAAATTAAAAAAGAAATATATATATTTCCTACTTCATTGATTCTGTCATATATAATGCAATTTTCTTTTTGGGCAATCACTTAACTGCTCAGCACCCTACTTCATAAAGCTTGGTAGGACTAAAGTAGTGGAAGATTTTTCCTTTTTGAGTCATAAGAACACTCCAATCTCTATTAAAAATTCAGGTTTGATCACTATGCATATAATAGTTTTAACTTCGTCCATATTGTATATTATCATTATAGAATTGTGAGATTGTCATACCTTATAGTCACTGAAGTTGAAAATGTCTGTATTCAGTTCTGATATAGAATTTGTCTGCTATGTATTGAAGCTGATTAGAATCTCAATTTTTACTTTATTAAAAAATCCACAGTTCCAGTAATTTCTTTAGTATCGTTTTCTGACTTAAAATTTTCTTTCATCAGGAACTCTTGCGACTAGGAGTGGAGAGGATAGTTTTTCCTGCAGTTCCTAATATGCTTGAAACGTGGACCAAATCTTTTAATTTCGTGAAGATGACAAGTTTTGAGAGATCACAATATTTGGATTATGCTTTTCTAGATTTTCCAGGAACTGTCATGTGTCAGAAGCTGTTGACAACCCTTCCATCCCAGATTTGACTTTAACAAGAGCTTTGTAAGTTTGTTTTTGCAAAGGATATAAGTAAACAGTTTCCTCACTAGCTGGATTACAACTTTAATGTTTCATATTGCAGAGAGCCATCAAGATCTACGCGATTATTTCTCTGTCAGTGTAGAATTGGTTCTGATAAGTCCAGTCCCCAATATAAAGTTGACCAAGAAGAAGAGATTCACAAGAGTGGAATGATGGAAATGCAAGTGGAGGAGTACGTCTAAGTTCTAACTATACAATAAAATACATCTGATATTGTATGGGAGACAGACTGTAATGACAATTTGAACAATTCTTTTAGATGTTAAAGTAAAATTTATTTTCATGGTAATTGATGTTCTTGCAATCTCTTGTATTCTTTGCCTCATTTTGGACTAATTTTCTGCATAAGACCATTACCATATTATATAACCAACAACAGAGGCTAAAGACAATGAAATACACAAACTGCGAAGTTAAAATTCACTTGTTTTTTCCACTGCACGTTTTCAAAACTTAAAAGCTCGTTGCTATTAGAAATTTAAAGGACACTTTGATTTTGGTTAAAAGAAGAATAGATTTGCATCTCACTATATAGTGGCCACTAACCAAACCTAAAGCAAAATTGGAGAAATTTCTAAATAAAAATTAAAAAAATATGGCTTAATTTCCATGCAGATCATTATCATCTCATTGATACTGGGTTTGGGAATCATTGGTATTAATGTGTATTACCTCAATATTGCCTTCGTGGATTGACTCATCCATAGTAGAGTACCGAAGGTGGCAAATGTGTTCATTGGAATCATAGTGTTTCCTCTAATGGCAATTTATATCATCTCAGTTATCTACCTAACTTTCGTAAAAGACATTGTTAAACATCTATCTAACTCAATAGTTTGGTTCTAATGGAGCCAGAGAAAACATCTTTTTTTGTCATAGGGATGATAATATTGTATTATTTTGCATTTAAATTCTTATTTAATATACTTAATATTTTTAAGAATAAGTATCTCAACTCAAGACATTAATGAACAAAAAAATAATTTAATACAACTTTTATAATTTATAATATAGAATAATAAATTAAATTTATATAACAGATAGACGTTTTTGGTTAAAAGTTACTCATTAGATAGAGAAATGTAAAAACTAAAAAGAAAGATGATGATGAGAGAGAGATGCTTCTTTGGAGTTTGGATTGACTGCCTATTTAGTTTTTTTCTATATCTCTCTCACCCTTGTTTTTTTCCTAGTTTCTTAACAGTGTAATTAAGAGAATTTAAATCAGTGACTACTAGAATCAATTCAAACCAAAAATAATATTGTCAATCAACTAAAATGTATGAAAAATATATATATTATACAAGATTCTGAATGCAAGGAATTAATAAGGAAACTCATTGCCCATTCACTTCATGCATTCCCACAAAGGAGAAGGTATCTATTAGTCTACAATTGAAAATTTTGTGAAAAAAAACTACAGAGCAGCCTACAAAATTTATGCACCTATACAAAACTAAGATTTCTTCAAGGGCTTCAAATAGTTCATTGCACCAAACTATATAAGGGGTAAAGGGAGTCTCCAAAAAATCTCACTTGCAAAAAAAATAAGATGATAACAGTAGATCACAACCAATATCCACACCACACCTTGCTACTTACGTTCTTTTTCCATACGCCTTCCCTGTTTGACATAAGAGAGAGCCACTCAATTTATGACTTGAATTTTCTCATTCATTGCATCATAATAAATTTCATTGACAGTACTAAACGTAAGTCTGACAACTTGCAAGGATCAACGACTGTCCCCACATACTAACACGAGACTTTTCAGCGTGCTTTGTCCTCACTCGCACACTTCCTGGGAAAACTTCCCAGGAGTTCACCCATCCCTGAATTGCTCCAAGTCAAGCACGCTTAACTGTGGAGTTCTTCCGATCCGGGCTACCAAAAAGTAGATGCATCTTGTTAGTATAGGTAGTACCAATTAATTCTTATAAGTCATTCCCAACTGTACCGTCCCATACCAGCACAGTCTCTGGAATCCCTCTCTTTCGGGTGTTGATTCGATTCATTCATGTACCCCCGTCCCTAGAAGCCTGCCAGGAGCCGCTCATTGTCTGTGCCCTTGCGCACCAGCGATCACTCCCCGCCCTCGTCAGCGCCCGAGATGTTACATGCCCACCAGCTTCCGCCTGGTTCGTCCTCGAACCACACCGTACTGGATGAGAGGCCCTGCTCTGATACCACTTGTAACGCCTGGCAACTTGCAAGGATCAACGACTGTCCCAAACACTAACACGAGACTTTTCAGCGTGCTTTGTCCTCACTCGCACACTTCCTGGGAAAACTTCCCAGGAGGTCACCATCCCTGAATTGCTCCAAGTCAAGCACGCTTAACTGTGGAGTTCTTCCGATCCAGGCTACCAAAAAGTAGATGCATCTTGTTAGTATAGGTAGTACCAATTAATTCTTATAAGCCATTCCCAACTGTACCGTCTCATACCAGCACAGTCTCTGGAATCCCTCTCTTTCGGGTGTTGATTCGATTCATTCATGTACCCCCGTCCCTAGAAGCCTGCCAGGAGTTGCTCCTTATCCGTGCCCTTGCGCACCGGCGATCACTCCCCGCCCTCGTCAGCGCCCGGGATGTTACATGCCCACCAGCTTCCGCCTGGTTCGTCCTCGAACCACACCGTACTTGATGACAGGTCCTGCTCTGATACCACTTGTAACGCCTGGCAACTTGCAAGGATCAACGACTGTCCCCACACACTAACACGAGACTTTTCAGCGTGCTTTGTCCTCACTCGCACACTTCCTGGGAAAACTTCCCAGGAGGTCACCCATCCCTGAATTGCTCCAAGTCAAGCACGCTTAACTGTGGAGTTCTTCCGATCCGGGCTACCAAAAAGTAGATGCATCTTGTTAGTATAGGTAGTACCAATTAATTCTTATAAGCCATTCCCAACTGTACCGTCCCATACCAGCACAGTCTCTGGAATCCCTCTCTTTCGGGTTTTGATTCGATTCATTCATGTACCCCCGTCGCTAGAAGCCTGCCAGGAGTCGCTCCTTGTCCGTGCCCTTGCACACCGGCGATCACTCCTCGCCCTCGTCAGCGCACGGGATGTTACACTAAACCACCAATAAAAGTTGAAGGAAAGAGAAATTGAATTTTTTCGTTCATTGCATCATAATGAGAAAGATGAATCACGTAACCAGAGACAAATGTATGGATGATGAAAAATATTACTTGGTAACGTATTCTGTTTTGGTTCCTAAAATTCCAAGGGACTTGTCACCTTTAGAATAACGAAATATGTATATTTGTAGCTTAATATATTATTTCACCGAAACAAATTCCAAAAGAAAACTTACCAGATCTTACATGATTTTTAATCACTTCATAAAAAAAAAAATACAAAGCAAACTCTACTACAGCGTTGGTGAAGGGGTTTAGTTCAGATCTGGAAGATAGAGAAGGAGAGATTCAAAGGTGAATAACCGTTTAGAGAGAAGTAAGGACGAAGAGAGAGAATTGTCCAATCTTTTCTGTCTATTCTGTTACGCCCCCAGGGCTATTTAATATAGTTTTTCTTACAATGCTTTTCTATTACACTGTTTAACTACTCAACTCATATCTATTTCTAGACAATGGGCCTTACAAGTATTTAAACACTATGGGCCTTACAAGTATCCTTACAAGTATTTAAAGACAATGGGTACAAGTATTTAAAGACAATAGTCCTTTAGGTACACAGGCTTTCTTCTATTGCGATTGGGCTTGCCTTGATTGGGCTCACCCACTTGGGTCACAACAACTCCTTCCTCATCAGAACAAACCTCGCCCACGAGGTTGGATGGCCCAGAAACGTCCAAAGCGTCTGGTTTGGGTGGAACACAGCTGGCAGCCATGACAGGAGAGGCTGAGACAATAGGGACAGGTGGCTGTGCTTGAGCGGTTGTCAAAGGGATAAGAATCTGGCCCAACGCACCTTGATTGGCTGAGGACTCTGAGGTTTCTGGATGAGGATTAGGTGTGTCCTTTGGCATAGAAACCTGTGAGTCATTGATGGCCAGCATTACTTCATCAGAAACGGAGCTGACCTTTGAGTGATGAGGGTGCTCCAAAGAAGAGACCTTGGTTCGTGGAGGAGCCTTTAACAACGCCGCGTCCTCCCACGTCGAATCCTCCGGCGACAACCCTTCCCACTGGACAAGGACTTGGGCCACTGGACGACCGTGTCTCCAAACGTTGCGCTGAGAGAGCAGAGCTGCTGGTGTGTGCTGTGGAGTGCGTAATTCCGTAGGGAGATCATGAACCTGATAACGATGAGCTGGAAAGAACGGCCGCAATAGAGAGGCGTGGAACACGGGATGAACCCGAGACGTTAGAGGAAGCTGAAGACGGTATGCAACCTTCCCAATACGTTCAAGCACTCGGAACGGCCCATAAAAACGTAAGCTGAGCTTGTTACAAGAACGACGGTGCAGGGTGAGCTGCCGGAAAGGTTGTAAGTGTAATAACCCAAAAATCTTGTACTCGAAATTAGCCTAATAAAATGAAATGAAAGGGGATCAAGTCCATATTCAGTGAACGGGTAGCTTTGAATAAGCAACATTAGTCCTAAGCTAGAACCCACTTTAAATAAGATAATTAATAACTTAGCCAATGTGGGTTAAAGCCCAAATAAAGTTAAAGCCCAAAGCAATGCAAGCCCACTTTATAAGAAATGACCCAATTAGTATCTAGACAAAGATCCAAGCCCACACCACTTAGCCTTGACCCAACTACTAATGGTCCCACACTTATTAACTTAATGGGCCCAAACACTCACCAAGCCCAACCCAATTCAAGAATAAACCCTAGGTGAGGTGGCAACACGTGATTGGACAATTTGAATGAAGATTTCACCCTCCTCACATGTCCACTTCGACCTAGCAAAGAGAAAAAGGGGATGAGATTGCTTTCCCCACCTTAGGCGCACCAATAGCAAGGAAAAGGAAGCTTCCTTCTTACACACTCAAGCCATGCATGACACAAGTCTTTCCATCTCCCAAGGTAACACATCAAGGGAACATAAACCAAGATTCCCTTCATAAAAGTAGGCTCACTTTCCCTCTTACCTAGGCGCACAAGTCTTCCCCAATGCATGATTAAAAAGGTGAAGCCACCTTTTCTCCATCTCCCTAGGCGCAATAATTAGCATGAAAAGGGAAGACTTGTTCTTACACACCTTATGATGAGTGTGACATACTCAAGGTGATTCCCAAACCCCATGCATTGGGAAGTCCCAAAGACACTCTATCCTAGAATTCAATTATGGAAAGCTAAAAGACAAAAGGCCCTACACGTTAACCAACATTTCTTCAATGATGATTAAAGCAATTAACATTGGTACACGCAAAGACCTTCCTCCTTCCCATGCACCTCATTCCCCAAAGTAATTAAGGATGCACCTCGTTTCCCTAACCAAGGCATGCACACCACCCTTCAAGCAATTAATGTGAGCCTTATCTTCCTTCCACTTAGGCGCTACACACATAGAACCCCTTCGATTCACGCGCACCACTTCCTAAGTGAATAATGATGAAGTTTTGTTTTCTAGGTAGGAATGCAAGAGTCCCCCATGCGTATGACACCTTGAGAGTCCTACACTCTACACACTATCATTACCCCTTCCCCATGCTTATGACAACCTTGAACAATGTGAGGAGACTTGCTTACCCCACACTCAACCAAGACCTAGCCTATCCTATCCTAGGCATGATGATTAGGGAGACTTGAATAAAAAGGTGTACAAACAAAGGCCTCTCCCCTTCCTAGCCGTACACTACCTAAAGAACCAAAGCAAGGACACACTCCCTCACTTCTAGCCACCCACTCATAAACAAGAAACAAGTGAACCAACACCTCTCCTCTCTTCTTAGACTTACGTAAAGAAAGATTAAGAAGAGGTTAGAAGCAACTCTCAATCCTAGAGGACTACTTGAAGATCAAGTTGGAGTTATATTTTTGACATCATCTTTGAGGTAAGATTTCATGAACCCTTTTATCCCTTCAAGTGAGTAGAATGAACTCTAACTAGTTTAGATGACTAGATCTTGGACTAATAAAGTCATGCATGCATCTTTCATCTTTAAAATCACCTCTTAAGTATATCATCCCTAAATGGCCGAACCTCAAAGGTATGCATGCACCCTCTAAATATTCACAATATTTACTAAGCAACCTAACCCTAAATGACCGAATCTATATGTACCCGACTAGATATTGAATATGTTCTTTAAGGTAATATGAAAAGTGTTGAAGTAGATGTTCTAAACAACATGTAGGAAAGCATTACTTGAAGAATCACCACCTAAATGGCATTAACCCTAAATGGCCGAACTTGATGAGTATTAGACCCATGAACATGTTGTCAAAAATTATCCCTAGGCATGCACCCTCTAAATGGCCGAACCCTAATAAGCCTAAAGGGGAAATATGTGAAGGTTTTCTTAATACCATGATGTGTGGCCGAAATGTATGCCCTAGAATATGACTTATGCATGAAAACAATTAGTAAAAATTATCTCCTAGGCATTTTCATCCTTAGAGAGCCGAACCTATGACATGAAGAATATTAAAGTTTAGATCTTTTAATTTTAGAACCATGTACTAAGGTTGAATATGTGGCTAGGACAAACCAAAGCTTGAAAAGAGATCCAAGTTACTAGGACCTTCATTTGGCCGAATCCATCACCTACGGGAAGAGTTTACAAAGCGAAAAAGTGTAAGTGATTTATGGTTGTTGAAGCGGCTACCCTATGGTTGCCACCCCCTTTATGTTAAAGTGAGGTTTGACTGCAATATGTTATATGATGCATTACATGATATGTTTGGTTGTTTGGAACTAATGTTTATTCATGCAAGTTTTGTAAGATGGCCTGTGCACTAATACCACAGAGGCAACCTGACGAGGACCCTGGGTATTCGTCCATAAGACCATGGAGAGTAATTGCCATGGCAGGATTGGTATGATGATATGAAAGCATGATTATTTTCCAAACTATGTTTCCAATGTTTTGCCATTCTATTATTGTACATGTTATTAAGTGACTATTGCAGGAGTAAGCATCATGGTTTGGAGGTTGCTCCAACTGTGAGTCCTTACTGAGACCCCCAATCTCACCCCTCTTTGGGGAAACCCACTTTCAGGAAAAAAATGACTAAATGGGTAAGACAGGGAAAGAGGCTGGTACGAGTTGAAGAGGAACCTGCGCAACCACGTGCAGTTGATAATGACTCCAAAATAACGGAGATATTTGAGAACTTACTGGCCGAAGGAAAGCTCTTGGAGGCAGACTATCTTATATCTGCTCTAGCTGGGCCCATGTGGCTTGAAGAGGCACCTCCCTAAGGGTGTACTTAAGTTCTAATTTGGGATGACTGTAATAGACTATGCCACTTAGATTATTTTGAACCTCTTATATGCCTTTGAAGTACGATATTTTGGGATGTTTATGTTTTATGGACTTATGAATTTAGTAGGAAAGATTAAGTAACATAAGCCATTATCCGCATAAGACACTTAAGTAACCACCCACTGGGTAGTAGTCAACACTAAAATTATGATCATGTAAGTGAGCTCCTAAAATAGCGCATAAGTATAAGTAGGGTAACCAAGTAGAGATTAATTTGTAAGTAGACCGTAGACAAAGAAAAAGAGAAACTCATGACTAGAGGAATAGATAACTTAGGGGAATGAACGAAATTAATTCCCATTAGTAAATTTTAAGTTAACCACGCTTAAGTACATGGATTCCGCGCATTGAATGTCAAGCAATGTTACACCTTTGATGGCCTCATTAAGGGTGTTACAGTATGCGAAGAAGAACCAAATCTCCCTCATTAAAGGTGATGTCTTTCCGTTTCTTGTCTGCATGTGCTTTCATCTCAGCTTGGGCTTTCTGTAGACTGTGTTTTAATGATGACAGGATCATGGACCTGTGAAGAAGATCTGAGTCCACTGCTTCAACCGAAGTGGAACCCAAGGTGTAGGATAACAAATCCGGAGGAAAACGCCCAAAAGTCGCCCGGAATGGAGAAGTTCCAGTACACCGGTTATGAGCAGTATTGTAATGAAACTCCGCCCAACTCAAGAACTTATGCCACGCAGTCGGATTCTCATGAACAAAACATCTGAGGTACTGTTCCAAAGTTCGATTAACCCGCTCCGTTTGACCATCCGTCTGTGGGTGGTAAGCGGAGCTAAAATGCAACTGTGTGCCCTAAAGTTTGAATAGAGTTTGCCAAAACTCATTGAGAAAAATAGGGTCTCTGTCAGAAACAATGGAACGGGGAAGGCCATGCAACTTCCCCACCGTGTCCCAAAACACCGTAGCTACTTTAGATGCAGAGTATTTCGTCGGTAAAGCCGCGAAATGGGCCCCCTTTGTAAGTCTGTCCACCACCACCATAATCGCCGTAAACCCAGATGAAGTTGGAAGATGTGTGACAAAATCCATTGTTAAGTCGGACCATATGAGTTCCGGCATGGGTAATGGCTGTAGTAATCCGTAGGGGCCATGATTGGGCGATTTAGCTTTCTGACACACTTCACAGTGTTGAACAAACTCCTGAACATCTTTCTTCATTTTGTTCCAGGTGAACTTGGCTGCTAAACGGAGGAAAGTACGTCGAACACCTGTGTGGCCCCCAATTTTGGAAGAGTGGAAGTCATGTAGCAAGAGTGGTATCGGTGATAAAGCTGCTGGAATGTACAACCGGTGATGATGAAAAAGCAATCCACTTTGGAGCTGCCAGTGAGGCCATTTAGATGCATTGGATTGTAATTCATTACAAATTTGTGCAGCATAGGGATCTACTTGTAAATCAGTCTGTATGATGGAACTATAATGAGATGTAGGTGTAGACAAAATCAACAGGGTGGGGACTGTGATAGGAGAAGTCCCCTCCGGTTGGCGCGACAAAGCGTCAGCCACAATATTATGTTTGCCAGATTTGAATTGAATTGAATAGTTGTAGCCCAACAATTTCGCGAGAAATTGTTGTTGCTCAGGAGTTTGGATCACTTGTGTCATTAAGTGATGCAAACTATGGTGATCCGTTTTGATGATGAAAGAGGATCCCAGCAAATATTGGCGCCACTTGGCAACAGCCGAAGTGATGGCGTACATCTCACGTAGATAGGTAGATTTCAGTTGCATGAGCTTGGAAAGCTTGCGACTAAAATAAGCAATAGGATGACTATCCTGCAACAATACAGCCCCAACGCCAACCCCTGAAGCATCAGCTTCCAAAACAAAGGGTAGCTGAAAATTTGGCAACGCTAAAATGGGAGCGGTGGTAAGGAGATGCTTAAGAGAAACAAAAGCATGCTCAGCTGCTGAAGTCCAATGAAAAGCATCCTTGGACAGAAGATCAGTAAGTGGGACAACAACCATAGCGTATCCACGAATAAAATGGCGATAATAACCAGAGAGACCCAAAAAAGCTCGTAATTGCGTTACAGAATTAGGAATCGGCCAATCACACACCGCCTGGACTTTGGAAGGATCCGGACTAACCCCAGCTGCCGAAATCACGTGGCCCAAAAATTGGATCTCCTGCACTGCAAATAAACATTTATTCATTTTAACAAAGAATTTATGTTGCCGCAGGATCTGTAACACCTGAGTTAAATGATCTTCATGTGCTTGTAGAGAAGGGCTATACACCAAAATATCATCAAAGAAAATGACAACAAAACGACGCAAAAACCCAGTGAATATGTGATTCATAGCGGCCTGAAAGGTAGACGGGGCATTAGACAGCCCAAAAGGCATCACAAGAAACTCAAAGTGACCGCTATGGGTTCGAAATGCCGTTTTGTGAACATCCAGTGGATTCATTTTTATTTGGTGATAGCCTGACCGAAGATCAAGCTTTGAAAAGATCTGGGCACCAATCAACTCGTCAATCAGTTCATCAACGGTAGGAATAGGAAATTTATCCGGAATAGTAATGGTATTAAGGGCGCGATAATCAACACAAAAACGCCACGTCCCATCTTTCTTTTTGACCAAAATAACGGGTGAACTGAAAGGTGAACGGCTGGGCTGAATAATACCTGTATCCAACATTTCAGCAACCATTTTCTCAATCTCCGTCTTCTGAAAATGTGGATATCGGTAGGGTCTTACTTGAACAGGTTTCGAGTTTGGGAAGAGGTTGATGGAATGATTACAGTTTCTGTCAGGGGGTAAAGATGAAGGGGTGGCGAAGACATCTTGGAACTTGTGTAAAATTTGTTGAATAGAGGGAGGTGTTTGGGCTTGAGCGGGTATAGAAAGCTGGTTTGGTACATTACTAGTGAGACACATAAAACATGAAGAGACAGATGTGGGTGCAATATTTGAGTTGCCATGTAAAATGACCATAGTGGCCAAATGTTGAAAAGTCATAGTCATTTTAGAATAATCTGTGACAATCGGCCCAAGAGTCGCAAGCCATTGGACCCCTAATACCACATCCGCCCCTTTGAGATCCAACACATAACGATCCACAACAAAAACGTGGGACTGAAGCATTAAAGAGGCAGCAGGACAAAAAGTATGACACCGCAGAGCATCTCCATTGCCCACCTGTACAAGGAAAGGGGACACCTGTTGCAAGGTGAGATCAAGAGAATTAGCCATACGCTCTGTTATAAAATTGTGGGTACTACCCCCATCCACCAAAATTTGAATAGGCTTCCCTTGTAGTGACCCTGTGAGACGAAAAGACCGCGAGCAGTTGTGGCCAAAAAGAGCATTGAGGCTGATTTCGGAAGTAATATCATGCGTAGGGAGTTCAACAACCTCCTCCTGAAAACTATCATCCGGATCAGCATCTGTTCCTTCCATATACAGAAGAGTAGCACGACCCTTACACTTATGACCAAAAGAATATGGTTCATCACATGTATAACATAAATTCTTCTCACGTTTCACCTGCATCTCAGTCGGAGAAAGCCGACGAATAGGAATGGCAGCCAATGGACCCGAAGAGGGCAGAGAAGAATGCGGTTTGTTGGTTAAGCTTAGAGTAGAGCTTATCTGGTTCGGTGGAGGTTTTGGTGGATTAGACCAGGTGCGCAAAGGTTTATAGTCAGAAGACTGATCCTCATACACACGTGCCAGAGAAAAGGCCTCATGATAATCTTGAGGTCTATGAGTCAAAACAAGGCGACGTATATGGGCCTTTAAACCAGAAATAAAAATGCTCCGTAGCAAAGGAGCTGTAAGGCCAGGCACCTTACTCACTAGTTTTTCAAATGTGGATTGGTAATCCAACACAGATCCAGTTTGATGAATTTTAACCAAGGCTCCTGCAGGATCATCAAATTCAGAGGGCCCAAAACGGCGAAGAACAGTCGTGCAAAACGTGCGCCAATCAGGCATTAAACCATTCTGATCCGAACCATAAAACCAACTAGCAGCAGGTTCATCTAAATGGAAGACAGCTAAATTTAAACGATCTGGTAAGGGAACCTGGTAGAAGGTGAAATATCGTTCCGCAGCCACGATCCAAGTAGTTGGATCACCTGACGAAAAATGAGGAAAATCAAGCTTGACTTGGCGCGCTCTGGAATTATCATTACCATGCGGACCAGAACCCAAAATTCCGCGTCCCGGAGAATTTTGTTGCAACTCCAGAAGACGAGCCAGATCTACATGTAAACGGTTCGAGATTCCTGTAAGTGGAGATAGGACTCCTGCAACTGAGAGTTGGATTCTTGCAAACCCAAATACTGTTGTGCACGAACAGTCTCTGCAGCTCGGAATTGTTCATCCAAAGTTTCAAAACGCTGTGACAGATCCCTTAAACGCGTGTTTTCAGCCATAGCAGGTAGGTTGAGGAGCAATGAAAGCACCAATGAAGGGGTTTAGTTCAGATCTGGAAGATAGAGAAGGAAAGATTCAAAGGTGAATAACCGTTTAGAGAGAAGTAAGGAGGAAGAGAGAGAATTGTCCAATCTTTTCTGTCTATTCTGTTACGCCCCCAGGGCTATTTAATATAGTTTTTCTTACAATGCTTTTCTATTACACTGTTTAACTACTCAACTCATATCTATTTCTAGACAATGGGCCTTACAAGTATTTAAACACTATGGGCCTTACAAGTATCCTTACAAGTATTTAAAGACAATGGGTACAAGTATTTAAAGACAATAGTCTTTTAGGTACGCAGGCTTTCTTCTATTGCGATTGGGCTTGCCTTGATTGGGCTCACCCACTTGGGTCACAACAGTTGCGAATTGGAAATGCAAATGAAACATGGATCTCGAACTGAAATAAATTGATCAAAACGAAAAACAAAGAATGTGAAACGAATTACAAGAGGAAAACAAAAGAAGTGGACCTTCATCATCGCGTTTACTGTTATTCTTCACGAGTGATGTCCCTTCTATAATATTCTAGTTTGGATTGTCGTACGAGTTCAATTGCATCGATCATTTGATGGAAGTGAGTGAGAAAATGGGCGAGAAAGTTTAAAGAGAGAAAGTAATGAAAAAGAGGGAAAATTTAAAATTGAAAAATATAAGAATTAATTAGGCGCGAAAAAGAAAAAAAAAGAAAAAAAAAATCAGAAATGAGTTTGGCATTGCTTGCAGCAGCTATGTGGGTTTAAGGAGGATAAATACATGGGAAGATAAAGGTTTAACACTTGCCCTAATCTGAAAGCAAATTTGAGATTTTTATAAAATTTTACCATATATAAATAGGAGAGGTTATACTTACTACTTATCTTTCTTACTATTTCTTACTACCAAATCTTAACCGTTGATTTCCGTCAATCTAACGGTTGTAATTTATGGTGTCATACTTATTAATTAATTATTAATTTACAATAAATTATAACCATTAGATTGACGGAAATCAACGGTTAAAATTTGATAGTAACAAGTAGTAAAAAAAAAAGGTAGTAAGTATAATTTTCCCTTATATAAATTGCCGTAACTAAATTGTCGTGACTAGTTAACGTTTTTCTTGTAGTGATTGCTGAGAAACTAAGTCTTGAAATGACTTGTATAATAACCCACATTAGAAATTTGTGTAAACGTGAATTTCGTGTGGATTTGTGGAAGATTTAAAGGGATTTGTGTAAGATTTGAATAGATTTGTGAGATAATATAATGAATGAGAATGTAATTCTTACCAATCTAGTCATTAGGGATCCAAATGAAATTATGGGAAAAGTATAGAGGCCAAAATATAAATATGGTAAAGTTTAAGGACCAAATCACAAATAAGCAAAAGTTGACCTAAACTTAATTTTGATGTCATAATAAGATTATTTAGAAAATTTCATGAGTGTTAAATGATGTTATTATGGATTAAATCCTTTTAGAATTTAAGTTATAAGTTAATAAAGATATAAGGACCTAATTGCAAAATTTAAGAAGATTTAAGTGATCAAAGGTCAACCTTTCTTATAATTAAAACTTAAGACACTTAAGTTAGCATTTTTCATCTTCTTCCGATCGAAATTGCAGCTCCAAATAGCAGCCCATCGTGAATTCCATGAGAAAGCAAGACAAGCTTAGAACACCATGATTTAGCCACTAAAATATATAGCACCTTTGACAATAAATGATTCTTGCAACCTTGGGAACAAATCCCTAGCCTTAGTTTACTTCGAGGAACTCTTGTTTGGAAGATCTCTCATCATTTCCCTTCGACCTACATGTCCATAGAGGCTAGGATGAGTTTTTAGTTGATTCGAAGCTTGAAGATTAATCCTTTGATGATTTGGAGCATAACTATAGTAAGAAACTTGAGTTTAAACCAATGATTTTTTAGGTTTGATTTTTGAGTGTTGGATGACCATGGTTATTGTTGTTGTTTTGATGGGAATATTGTCTCTTGATTGATTTAGAGTTGAAAGCCATAAGTTGTTGGTGTTGGAAGCTTGAAATCTTGATGGATTCATTAAGTAATCCATTCGGCCATCTTGTGGAGAAATGCCTTGGAAGTTTGCTTAATTTGGATTGAAGCTTGGAAGCTACTCTTGGTGTTATTTCAATGCAGCATTGTTAAAGTATTATTATCTGAATCATTGTTCTCCTTTCATTTTCACCAATCATTCAACAATGTAAACACATTTGCAATTATATACAAGGTCCAAGTCATGCAATATAATCACAATATTTAAAATTCCCTCTCTTTTGCATGTAAATTTTTGGCCAAAACTCAAAGTGAGTGAAACCAAGTTTTAAACCATTTTCCACCGATTAAATCACCTCCCAAGCATACTTTATAAACAAGTTAAGCTTCAATCATCCCCACAACATCATGAACTGAACCACACATCCATGAAAACTTCAAAATTTCGATCCATCCAAAAATTTAGTAAAAGTAGTATTTCTTACCTTGAATCAACTCACAAGACTCCAAGGAATGTTTTCCAACCAACCAATGAAGCCAAAGTTATCTCAAAGTTCATGAACACTCAAAAACCCTCAACTTTCTCAAGAAATGATCTCCTCACACAATAGTTTTTAGCAAGTTTGTGAGGAAAGACAGAGGGGAATAACTCTCATGTTGGGACCTAAGGCCAGATGTGAGTGAAAGTTAATATATATGTGCAAGTTCTCCTCCAATGGCACTCTATGGTTTTGCCTCCTCAAGCACCTCAAAGAAGACATAAATTTTTTACTAAGGAGTGGTCTTTGATTCACTTAAGTGAGCCTTGATTTTGGTCAAAAGGTTTTATCCATGTGAAGTTACCATTTTACTCTTATTAAAGCATATAAAATGACATGGTTATCCCTCACTTAAACCTTCACTAATTCATGAATTAATCATCAAGTAAATAATTTAACATTCAATAATGTCTATTATTAGTCTCTTAACAAATGAATTTCAAGTTTTTCGGTAACCTTATAAAGTTATGATTTTACCCTTAATTTTACATTATTGGTACGTTTCCTAAAAAATACCAAAAACTGCAAATTTTATTTCTAATTCAAATTCATCATTTTAATCACCTAATTATATCCGATTAAGTATTTCACCCGTTAGAGTTATTATAATACTGGTCTCCATATCAAACATTAAGCCCTAAAGGTAATAGGTTTTTTCTGATAAGGATAAGCAAATTATCATTCATCTTATCCTTCCTAGCAAACCCACTCTAGTTAGGATTCTACACCTACACGTAACTCACCTATACATAGAGGACTAAGTCCACCGGGTACACACTTTATGCTCTTTACCTTTTTAGCTGTTATTATGCACAAACCTCATGCTTTGACTATACCTTTGTTATCTGTTCACAGTGATCTGTAACCCTTTATGATGTCTCCTGCATAAACATTAGTGTTGCGAAATCGACAAGTATACCGTTCGTTTCAAGTAATAAAATGATAAGTAAGATATCGTCCCACAAGGATTAATGCACCAATGACTAATTTTAACTATTCCCTTTGAATTGGAAAGAATTCAGTTTGATTGTGAAAGTGATTGGTTGTTGTAATTTAAAAACAGAATTTTAAAAACAATAATATTTAAAAGCATGCAAGAATTAATCAAGAATGTCAAGAAAATATGAGAGTGATTAAAAATTATAAAAGAGCTGCAGTCAAGATGCACTTCACCTCCGATCCTCTCTTTTATTCATAAATTGTATTTTATAATTAACTAATTCATTAGCTCAGACAATTCATTAATTCCCTATTAAATAGTTGAACATTATTGTCTTAGTGATTTCAACCATTTAACCCCATTAGAATCCTAGTGTCCTAGTAATTCCTCTTGAATTAAGCATTAAGCAAATGAGTTAAAAGTCTGAAATCTATGTAAGCCTATGTCTAGGTCATGCACAAACTGTTATTCTACCCTTGTTCAGATTAAAACCCCAATATGTCTATTGTGAGCCCTAACCCTCAAAACCCTATAATAGAGCGATCAATTCTATCAAGGATATGGAAGAATTAACACAGGTAGAATAAAACTAACTAAACTAATTAATTTATAAAAGCAATATAGAAACTATAAAGGATTCACATTGGGTCCGTGATTCCAACTACAAAAAAAAAAAACTAGCCAGACATATCTGGCATTAACAAATTAAAATAATAAAAAGTATTCATAAAAGCAATAAAGAAGAAGAAGAAGATGAAGAAATCTCAATGGTCTTCAGTCTTCAACTTCGTCGGAATCTTGATTTCCAGCGTGAGTCTCCAAGAACTCTCTCAATTCTCTGATTCTAACAATTCTTTCCAGCCAAAGATGGTTTCCTCTGGGGTCTGAGTCTCTATTTATAGACTTTGTACCCTTGTTTAGAAATCTTGATCAAATCTTCATCGTATCTCTTGATTCCAATCCTCCTGATATAGTCTGAGATAAGATTAAAAATTATCACGTGCCTCCCGCGCTACTAGCGCCAAGTTGGCACTAGCGTGGGAGTTTATTCTGGAGGCAGTAGCTTCGCGCTATTATCTTGACATTCACGCTGATGGCGCGGTTGAAAGAATTTGTTGTCGCTGCTAGCGCCAATGCCACGCTAGTAGCGTGGTTGCACTGTGTGAAAAGTTGATGCTGGCACTGATAGTGCCAGCTCCGTGCCAGTAACATGGTGGCTTCAAACTTGTGCTTTTTTATCTTTCTCAACTGGGCTTCTTTCTTGTCTGTTTTCCTACAAAAAAATATAAGAAAATCAGTGACAAGATACCTGATTAGGATTTATCAATTTAATAGCAATTATATCCCT